CAGTGGCAGCAGGCGGTGTCAGGAAGTGGCGGCAGGAAGCGAAGGCGGGCGGCGGGGCAGGCGGCAGTGGCAGCAGGCGGCAGCGTGGGCAGGCTGTGGTAAACAGTGGCTGGCAGGCAGGCCCCCGCAGGCAAGGGAGGCGGGCGGTGCAAGGAGGTAGCAGGCGGCGGCGGCAGGAAGTGGTGGGACGCAGGCAGCTGGGGCGGCAGGCAGGCAGGCAAGCCCGGGCAAGCGGCAGGCAAGCGGCAACAGGAAGCGGCGGCAGCGGTGTCAGGCGGTTGCTGGCAGGAAGCGGCGGCAGACGGCGGAGGCAGGCGGCGGGGGAAGGTGGCAGGAGGAGGCAGGCCACAGCCGGTGCAGGCAGTGGGGGCAGCAGGCTGCAGGCGGCAGCGGTAGGCAGGCGGTGGCGGCAGGTGGCGGCAGGTAGGAGGTAGCAGGTGCAGGCTGCAGTAAGCAGCGGCTGGCAGCCAGGCCACGGCAGGCAAGGGCCGCGGGTGGAGCAAGGACATAGCAGGCGGCGGCAGCAGGAAGCGGCAGCAGGCAGGCGGTGGGGGCAGGCAGGCGGCAGACAGCAGCATTAGGCAGGCGGCAGCTGTAGCGATTGGCAGGTGGCAGCGGTAGGCAGGCGGTGCCGGCAGTGGTGGGGGTAGGCAGGCAGCGTTGGCATGCATCCTCGGGGTTAGGCAGCTGGGCCCGGTGGAGCCAGGCTGCGGCAGCAGATGGCGGTGGCAGGCGGCGGCAGGATGCAGCGGCAGGCAGGTGGCCGTGGGTGCCGGCAGGCAGCAGGTGGCGGGGGCAGGCAAGGGCAGTGGGCGGTGGAAGGCAGATGGCGGCGGCAGGCAGAGGTAAGCGGCAGCAGGGGGCGGCAGTGGCAGACGGCAGTGGTAGTACTGACTGGTGGCAGCAGCGGGCGGTGGCAGGCAGGCGGCGGCAGGTGGCGGTGGCAGCGGGGGTAGGCAGTGGCGGCAGGCAGCGGCAGGCAGGCGGTGATAGTCGGTGGCAGGCGGCAGCGGGCAGCAGCAGAGGTGGCAGCGGTGACAGCGCCAGCGGGTGGCGTCTGCACCTGCAGCAGCTGCAGGGGCGGCAAGGGCTGCAGGGGCGCCAGCTTTGGGCAGCCCCGGGTCATTGGGCGGCGGTGTGTGGCAGCCTCAGCTGCAGGTGCCATTGGCTTCAGCTGGAGTCACTGGAGGCAGAAGCAGGTAGGGGCGGGGTCAGCAGTAGGCGGGTCAGCGGCGGCAGCGTGGGTCAGCGTGGGGAGGGGTGCCAGAAGCGTCAGCGGGTGTCTGCCGGGTAGGCGGTGGCGTCAGCGGCGTCAGCAGCGGGAGCAGTAGGGCTGGCGTCAGTCGGAGTCAGTGTTCAGCAGCAGCAGAAGCTCCCGGCAGCGGAGGCAGCAGCACTATCAGCAGCGGGCGGCGGCAGCGGTAGGTGCCGGGTTAGTGGGTGTCAGTGTGTGGCAGCGGGAGGCGGTGGAGGCAGGGGGCGGCAGGCTGTGGCGGCAGTAAGCGGTGGGGGCAGGGAGGCAGGTGGCGGCAGGCAAGGGTGGTGGGCGGCGGCAGGCAGGGTTGGCAGACAGGCGCCGGCGGTAGGCGATCGCAGGCGGCGGCAGGAAGCGGTGGCAGGCTGTGGTAAGCGGTGGTAGGCAGGCGGCCGCAGCAGGCAGGCAAGGGCGGCGGGCGCTGGAAGGAGGTAGCAGGCGGCGGCGGCGGCAGGGGGCGGGGGCAGGCAGGCAGCGGCAGGCAGGTGGCAGACAGTTGCAGGCAGGCTGCAGCAGTGGGAATAGGCAGTAGCGGCAGGTGGCAACAGGCGGTGGCGGCAGGAAGTGGTGGTGGCGGGGGCAGGTGGTGGCGGCCAGCAGGCCCCGGCTAGGGGCAGGCAGGGGGCGGCGGCGGCAGGCGGCGGCAAGCGGCGGCAGACGGGCGCAGGCAGTGGTAAGCGGCGGGAGCGAGCGGCAGCAGGTGGCAGGGCCAGGCAGCAGCGTTAGGTAGGCGGTGGCTGCAGCTGTTGGCAGGCGGCAGCGGTAGGCATGTGGTGGCGGCGGGCTGCGGTGGCGGGCAGTGGTAACTGGCAGCAGGCGGCGGCGGTAGGTAAGCAGCAGCAGGCGGTGGCGGGCTGCAGGCAGCAGGGGCCAGGCGGGAAGCGGAGGCTGACAGCCGCAGCCAGCCTTAAGTGGTGGCAGAAAGCGGCGGCAGGCGGCAGGGGCAGGTGGCAGGGGGAGGCAGGCCGCAGTGGCGGCAGGCAGTGAGGGCAGCAGGCGGCAGCGGCGTCAGGCGGCGGTGGTGGCAGGTGGTGGGGGCAGCGGGGGGCTGCAGGGGCTGCGGCAGCAGGTGGCGGTGGTAGGCAGGCAGCGTTGGCAGGCATCGTAGAGGTTAGGCAACGGAGGCTGGTGGCAGCAGAGGAGGTGGCAGGCGGCGGGCTGCAGGTGGTGGCGGTAGGCAGCGGTAAGCGGCAGCAGGGGGTGAGGGCAGGCAGGCGGAGGCAGGGGGACGCAGGCAAGGGCGGCAGGCGGCGGCAGGCAGGCGGCGGCAGCGGCAGGAAGCGGTGGCAGGCAGGTGGCTGCGGCGGTAGGCAGCGGTAACCTGCAGCAGCTGGCGGGGGCAGCAGGCCCGTGGTGGTAGGGCAACGTCAGCGCTGGGCAGCCAGCGCCAGCAAGCAGCAGGCGGCAGAGGGCGGCAGCGTGGGGCAGCGGCGTCGGAGGTCAGCAGCGGCGTCTGCGATGGGAAGCGGGTGTCAGTGGTGGTAGCCGGGGGCAGTGGCGGTGTGGCTGGGAGCAGAGGGAGCTGGGCGCAGCGGCGTCGTTGGAACCCTAGCATGCTGCGGTTCTGAGGAAGAGGGTGCCCCTCAGCCTGGTATCCGCGGGGGGCAGAGGGGGCCACCCGGGACCCGGAGGCCGAGCCTGAGGCGGAGTGCCAAGTCTTGCTTCCTCCCATTGGGGAGGCCAGGTGAGTTCGGCCTCTGCCCTGGGCCTGAGCTTCAGTCTCTCCATCTGTAAAGCGGGCAGAACAGCAAAACCTTAGGGTTATGGTGCAGATTTAATGTAGGTAATGGGTTTCTTTTAGACTGGTTCAGAGTACAGGTCGCCATTCCTCTTATTCCACTTCCAGCTGTGTGACCTTGAGCAAGATAGGTAATCGCCAGGCCTCAGAATTCTCATCTGAGAGATGGGCCTGCAAATAGGACCTATATAGGCTTGTTTTGGAGATTTAGTGAATTAGTAAACGGAATGCATTTCCAAAGTCAATGTAAACCATGGTTCCTGGCACGAGATGAGCGCAGTATGAGTCTTTGGGATTAATATCATAGAAGTATTGGTTATTGTTATTGCTAGCACCGGGGAAGGAACACCGTGATTGCCATCCTCATGATTATCATCATGAGTTAATTGAGGAGCTGCTCTGTGCCTGGCACTGGCATAAGCATTCTACACAGTTTATCAGTTGTTCAATCAGTTGTTCAATCTCAGTGGGCTAGGATCCTGATAGGCCTCTGAGTCTTAGAGACACAGATAATGCTTGGAACCAGATTTCAAGCCCTTGTCTTTGCGGCTCCAAAACCTGTGCTTCCAAGCTCTCCATGATTGGGGCGTATCCAAAACCCTCATGCCTCTCTGCTTGACTCTGCACCTTACAGCTTAGAACAGGGCGTAACACAGAGGAATACAGAGGAATAAGTATTCTCTATTTCTGTTACTATTGTTGTCTTTATTCACTTGCAGTGCTTTACGGGCACAGATGTAACGGCGGTGGTTAGTGATTCAGATCAAGAGCTGAAGGACCATCCCAACTGAGAGAAATGAGACCAATGTTATGTGCTCCTCTCCCCCTAGAATGACGGTCAAGAGACAGTGATGACTCAGAGGTTGCCAGTGAGTTAAAGAAGTTGGCTGCCCAGCAGCAAGAGCCTGAGTAGACAGTAGCAGCGACCTTTTGTAGCATCTCAAAAGACACCTACACGATGGAACATGCCCAGGGATTTGGAAAACCGGTAAGGCACTTTCCATACACCCTGCATTGTTCTTCCTCAACTTCTTCAGTATCCCCCAGGAACTCCCTGCTTCTTCCTGTACCCCTAAGCGGGATGCAGTGCCCACTGCTCTGGGTAGAGAGGAGCCCAGCACTTTACATGCTGTTCTGTGCACGCACTCACCAGTGTACAAAGCTCTCCTTTAGCCTCTGTGAGGAACAGGAGGGCAGCTTCCCATACAGATTTTGGCAGGTCCCTGCACTTTCTGAGTCCCCTGAACAATGGTGTATGGCTTATCTGTTTAAATCCAGTTTTGTCTTGGACTGTTTTACAAGACCTTTTCCTTAGGATCACTGAAGCTTGCAATACAGTGTTATTAACTATAGTCGCCATGTTGTACATTACATCCTGTGACTTACTTATTTTATACGTGTAAGTTTGAACCTTTGACCCCTGTCACCCATTTCACACCCATACCCCTGCCTGTCAACCACCAATCTGATTGCTGTATCTTTAAGCTCAGTTTTTTGGTGTTTTAGATTCCATATAAAAGTGTTGTCATAGAGTATTTGTCTCTGACTTCTTTCAGTTAGCATCGTGCCCTCAGGGTCCATCCATGTTGTTGCAAAAAGAAAGATTTCGTTTTTTGTTATGGCTGAAGAGTATTGCAGTGTCTACATACACCACATCTTCCTTATCGATTCATCCCTCCATGGACATGTAGGTTGTCCTCCTATCTTAGCTGTTATGAATAATGCTGCAGTGAACATGGGGGTTCAGACATCTTTTCAAATAGGTGTTTTTGTTTTCTTTGGCTAAATGGCCAGAAGAAAAATTGCTGGATTGTAGGGTCATTCTAGTTTTAATGTTTTGAGGAGCCTGCATACTGTTTTCCACAGTGGATGCACCTACCTACGTTCCCACCAACAGCTCACTGGGGTTCCCTTTCTGCCACATCCTTGCTAACATTTGTTATTTCTCATCTTTTTGATACTAAATATTCTAACCAGTGTGAGGTGCTATCCCATTGTTGTTTTGATTTGCATTTCCCTGATGATTCATGATGTTGAGCATCTTTTCACGTCCCTGTTGGCTCTCTGGATGTCTTCTCTGGATAATGTCCATTTGGATAATCCTCCCACTGGTTAAACACTTTGTTTTTTGTTGTAGTTATTGAGTTGTAGGAGTTCTTTATATGTACTGGATATTAATCTTTTATGAGATCTTTGGATCTGCAAATCTTTTCTTCCAGGCAGTAGTAGGTTGCCTATTTATTTTGTTGTTGATTTTGTTTGCTGGGTAGGAGCTTTTGAGTTTGCTGTAGATGTGCTTATTTATTTTTGCTTTTGTTGCCTTTGCTTTTGGAATGTGAGCCACAAAAATCACTACCAGGACCTTTGTCAAGCAACCTTCCACTATGTTTTCTGCTAATTGTTTTAGCATTTCAAGTCCTGTATTCAAGTCTTGAATCTATTTTGAGTTAATTTTTATGTATTTTGTAAGATACACAAAAGTAAGGTTCGTTCTTTAGCATGGGGCTGTCCAGTTTTCCCAGTACCCTTGATTACAGAGACTGTTCTTTCCTCCTTGTATATTCTTGGCTCTGTGGTCATAAGGTACTGGACCATAGAGGTGTGGGTTTCCTTCTGGGCTCTCTCTTCTGTGCTGGTGATTTGCGTGTCTGTGTTTAAGCCAGTGTGCCAGCAGTCACTATAGGTTTGTAATAGAATTTGAGACCAGGGAGCCTGATGCCTCCAGCTTTGTTCTTTCTTAAGATTGTTTTGGTTATTCAGAGTCTTTTGTGGTTCCATACAAATTTTAAAGATTCTTTGCCTTATGTCTGTAAAACGTGTTTCGAATTTTGGTAAGAATTGCATTCAATCTCTAGACGGTTTTGGGTAGTATAGACATTTTAACACTTAATTCTTCTAATCCATGAGCATGGAATGTCTGTTTACTTGTGTTGTCTTCAGTTTCTTTCCTTAGCATCTTAACAGTTTTCAGTGTATAGGCTTTCACCTCCTTGGTTAAATTTACCTCAAAGTGTTTTTTGGTTTTTTTGATGCAGTTTTAAATACGATTTTTTAAATTTATTTTCCTGTTCATTATTAGTGTATAAAAATGGAACATATTTTTATGTACTTTTTATCCTGCAACTTTATTGAATTTGTTTATTTTAATAGTTTTGTTCATGGTGTTTTTAGGGTTTTTTACATATAAAATGTCATTTGAATATAGTGACTTTTACTTCTTCCTTTCCAATTTGGATGCGTTTTATTTATTTATTTTTCTTGTGTAATTGCTCTGGCTGGGATTTTCAGTAGTATAGTTGACCGTTGTCCATCGTCGGTTTGAATTGTGTGGTCCACTTAATACATTTTTTATTCAGTAAATACAGGTATTGCTTGTAAAGGTATTGTCCTTTTGGATTTTCTTTTTTTTTTTTTTCTTTTCAAATGATTATTTAAATTCTACTTACTTAACATACAGTGCAATATTGGTTTCAGGAGAATTCAGTGATTCATCACTTGCTTACAACCCCCAGTACTCATCATAACAGTGCCCTCCTTAATCCCATCACCCAGCTAGACCATCCCCCAAACAGCTCCCCTCTGTCAAATCTCTGTTTTCCAGCATCAAGAGTTTCTTATAGTTTGTTTCTCTCTCTGTTCTTTGTATTCCGCCTCCCATTTGTTGATCTGTTTTGTTTCTTAAATCCATAGGAGTGAAATCCATAGGAGTGAATGGTATTTGTCTTTCTCTGACTCACTTATTTTGCTTAGCATAATACACTCTAGCTTCATCAGGGTTTTTTTTTTTTTAAAGAATTTATTTATTTTTTTGACAGAGAGAGACACAGCAAGGGAGGGAACACAAGCAGGGGGAGTTGGAAAGGAAGAAGGAGGCTCCCCACAGTCTTTGGATCCAGTGCGGGGCTTGATCCCAGGACCCTGGGATCATGACCTGAGCCGAAGGCAGACGCTTAATGACTGAGCCACCCCAAGCCCCAAGCTCCATCAGGATTTTCTTAATCACATTCTTTTTCTCTAGCTTACTTTGTTGTTAAGAATACAGTCTGTAATACATGTAACATTCAAAATATGTCTGAATCAACTCTTTGTGTTATTGATAACTTTTCTAGTCAACAGTAGGGTATTAGTAGTTCAGTTTTGAGTGAGTCAAAAGTATTCTCAGATTTTCAACTTCACAGGGGTTTGGCAACCCTAATCCCTACATTGTTCAAGGGCCAACTGTATGTTGAATAAAAGTGGTGAGAGTGTGCATCCTTGTCTTGTTCCTGATCTTAGAGGAGAAGCTTTCGGCTTTCACTGTTGCATAGGACGTGGCTTCTCAGTTATGGCCTTTATTATGTTGAGTTACCTTCTCTGTATACCTGCTTTGTTGAGAGCTTTTATCAAAATGGGTGTTGCGTTTTGTCAGATGCTTTTTCTGCATCAGTGGAGATGATCATATGATTTTTACCCTTTGTTTTGTTAATGTGGCCTATTTCTTTGATTGATTTGTGGATGTTGAACCCCTCTTGCATCCCTGAAATAAATCTGACTTGTTCATACCTCTTCGTATATTGTGGAATTTCGTTTGCTGTTATTTTGTTGAGGATTTTTAGATCTATGTTCATCACAGATACGGGTCTGTAATTTTCTTTTCTTGTGGTATTTTGGTAGGGTTTGATAAGGGCAATGCTGGCCTCCTAAAAGGAGTTGAGAAGCATTCCTTCCTCTTGTATTTGTGGAAACGTTTGATAAGGATTGGTATTCATTTTTCTTTGAAAATTTGGTAGAATTCACCAGGAAAGCCATCTGGACTCCTGACTGTTGAGAATTTTTTTAATTACTCATTTTATTTCCCTGCTGGTAATTGGTCTGTTCAGAATTTCTGTCTCTTCATGATTCAGTCTTGGAAGGTTGTGTGTTTCTTGGAATTTATCCTTTTCTTTTGGATTGTCAAACTTGTTGGGGTGTAATTGTTCATAGTAGTCTTTTATGAGCCTTTGTCTATGGTATCAATGAGAACATCTCTTTCATTTCTGATTATGTGTCCTCATTCTTTTCTTTTTACCTTGAGTCTAGCTGAAAATTTGTCAGCTTTTTTCTTTTCAAAGAACCAGCTCTTTTGTTGATCTTCCTATTGCCTTCATAGTCTGTATTTGATTTATTTCTGTTTGATATGTTACTTCCTTTCTTCTATTAACTTTGGGCTTCCGTGTTCTTTTTCTGGTTCCTTGAGGTGGAAAGTTAGGCTGCTTATTTGAGACG